GTCCTCGAAGTCATCTTTATTTTGAGACATCCTTTAAGCACTTTACCATAATTAGCAATCCCGATGACTTCTTTAGAGAATATATAAGTAAATTAGAAATATTTGGCTTGATTTAATTAGTAATCATAAAATTATAATATATTTAATTTATATTTTATTGTATTCATATATTTCATTTATTATACTGATTTTAGGAAAGATCAAACATTTTATGAAAATCAGGTTGTGTACTTTCAATTAAAAGATGGCATCTTATATAAGACTTTTAACAAAAAAAAAAAAAAAAAAAAAAAAAAAAAAAAAAAAAAAAAAAAACATTCCTGTCGTTATTTGTGCATGTTTACAGAAACAAAGTGCAGCAATAAAAAAATTCTTTTCATCGTCGTGCACTATCTTTTAGGCAATCTTTCTACCCTTTTTTCATTTTATTCATTGTAGACAAGTTGCCATACTTTTCTTATATGTTATCACAGCTAGAGTAAATACAGAAAGGCGCTCAACTACCTCTGGTATCAATTACAAAGCCATAGGCCATTATTACTATTACTTTCTCGCATCGCTTTTTCAATATCCCTTTTCTGCTTTTACGTTGACATAAGAAAATCCTTACGATGAAAAGACGCTGAGCTTTTGGTTTAGTATTTCTAGAGAGTTTTCTGCCATTTCTTTTGAGCGACCATTACGAAATGAATTTGTACGGAAGTTCTTTCCATGGAATATATTGTTTTGCTTTTTTTTACGAGTTCACTTCATCCTCTTGAAATGAATTGGCTTGTTTCGTTTTAAAAGCTTCTTTTCGTTTCTCAGTTCTTTTTTTTTTTTTTTAGACTTAAAACTGCTACTGCTGAAAGTATTTAAAAATGGAAAAGACGAAACACGAGAATTTCCATTTTGTCTTCAATCGGATGTTGCAGATTTTTCATGGATTCAAAATGAGTGAAGGGAGACAAAAACTGAAGAATTTGAATTCTTCTTTAATAATTCCTTATTTGTCATACTTGAGCAGTCGTACTTGTACTGTAAAAACGGCACTCGAAAAAGCTTTAAAATGCTTTCGGGGAAAGTAATTTTATAATTGCAACCGAAAATGCATTTTTCGCATTATAAAAAAATGACTGCATTAGGAAATTTTCTTACATCAACAGTGACAAATTTTGCCTTTTAATGCAAGACCGCTTAAAATTATCAATAGAAGTCTAAAATCAACATTAACATCAATAGATATTTTTTAATTCTGTATTTATTACTAGAAATTGAGGCAGTGACCTTATACCTGTATCGATAGAAATTGAGGCACCATCAATATATTTCATATATCCTTATAAAGTCAGTGAAAGATTTGATTATAAAGTATTACATATCGGAATATTTCTTTCTTCAGGTATAAATTTCTTTTATCCTAAAATATAATAGAATGTTTTTTATATTTTAAAAGAGATAGTTATTGAGTCATACAAATAATTTATCATTATTTCTTCGGAGAAGTATGATTTACAAGAAGGATTTTGTGATTCAAATTCATTTATTTGTAATGAAAAACATTAACGTCCATTAACGTCCTCACTAACTTTCATTCGAAGGAAATGAACATAGATAATATTTTTGATGTATTAGAGTCTAATTAAGAGAAAAAAATGCAACTGGAATAAATAAAATTTATTTTTATTGAAGATACAAAATGTTGCGAAAACGTAGCGTGAATCAAAACCGATTATTTCTGAGAAATCTTTGAAAGAGTTACTATACAAAGACACGTAATATTTATTGCAAACAGTTATCGTTTTGTAATAGCCTACCTAGATTAGAAATACTTGTAAGCTAGAATACTGAAAATCTGTGTAGCGACTATTCGCTGAATGCTTGTAAGTGACTATTCCGGGTTAAGTTACCGAAAGAAAGATAGTCAACCAACACATTCAATATTTGAAGATGAAGGCAGCTTTTCAAATTATCTTTCCCTTGCTCGCAACAATCACAGCGCAACACTTCTTTGAAAATCTTGTAGAGACATTAGATATTTTTTGGGAAGCCGGAGAGATGGAAAATATGCAAACGCCTTCGCCGGGAATAGAACCACGGATCTCTGGATACCGGTCCAGCATGCAGAACCACTACACCACGAAGGCACGCTAGGAAGGCGGGAGAAATACCTTAAGATCTAACAAAGACATTTTGGTTTCTGCAGCTATCTTAAAACATTTTCATCCATTTGATTTAGCTACTTAAATAAAATTCGTAAAAAATAGGCCACCACCAATTTACTTTTTACTCCACTATTTTTCCTTTTTTTTCTATATGCAACAAGATCGCAATAAGATCGTCTAGAAGGTCCGTCTATATATTTGTTGTAATTTCCGATGAGTTTAGATAGCCTAACGGATGCATATTAGTTTTCTTTTCTTGAGTATTTCCTTGTTGAGTCCCTTCTTTTCTTGAGGGTTTTTTTTTCCACATTTTTCTTTTTCCATTTTGTTTATAAGTATAATAAGGCGATTTCCTAATCCATACTCAACAATTGCTCCAGCCGCATGAAATTTGAACGCGTTCAATTCCGACAACGATATGTATGACATAAAAAGTTGTCGAAATATATGCAATGGTTGAAGAAACTTCCACCACACTTTAATAAGCTGTTACAAAATATTCAGCTAGTCTAAGATCAGTCAATGTCTTTGAATACTTTCTTGAATATATATCAAAATGATAAAAATTATTCTTCATAGGTATACAAAACACCAAATGTTGTACACAAAATGAACGAGTTTTCCTTTGAGAAACATTTTGCATGAATGTCTTCCAAACTAAGGAATCATTAGCTCAACTATATAAAGATGTGCTGAAAAGAACTTCACATGACATGAAATTGGCAATTAAAATATTTAAATAAAGACGTTCTTTAGCCAGCTTTTCAGTTTTATCCAATCTTTCATGAATTATAACCGTTAAAACCCATTGTCTCCATATTCGTCATTTTGAAAGTTTTTTTGTTTTTGAAGTTTCTTTGTTTGTGAAACTGGTAAAAGACAGTATCACCATCTATGAAATCTGTGTAAAGATACTGCTTTGGACAGACGTTACGTTTCGGCAACGTTTTAAAATATACATATTTATGCCAGAAAATAAAATAATAGCCCTACCTTTTGATGTGTTTATACAGTCTAATGTTTGTAGAAGATTGGGCAATCTTCATACAATCAATACTATTATTTGATTCTATCAGATCTACTCAAAATTAAAAGAAAAAAATTCGCAACGATGTACCAAAACAAACATCTATTTTTATGAAAATATTTAATATAAGAGAAATAGCTTTTTTTTTTTTTTTTTTTTTTTTTTTTTTTTTTTCCCAGAAACAATGAAGTTCTATCTGTAATATACAACAAAAGTTAAAAAAATACTATAGAGAAAATGAAAAATATTTTTAACTAATGTTGCGAAAATGCAACCGCAGTCGTCAACGGGTTTTAAATAAAAAATAATTTTATATGAATTTGAGTAAAGTTATTTTATAGAATGAAACTATATTTGCAATCTAATTTTTTTTTACTGAATTATATACATCACAAAGACCTCACGTAAATAAAAAATTTAAATTAAGTTAGTTTGCCAAACTAATAATTAATTTATTTAATAAATATAATCCTCCTTAACTGAAGGCTAAATAGCACAAAATAGAACTGTAAACCGAAAATGCTTGACACATAAATATTATATAAAATATTTACTTTTCGGAAATAATTTTATAATTTTTCTTGCATGAAACTATTTAAAATAATAATTAATAATAGTAGAACAAATGCTAGAAAATTTTTATTTCCATTGCTTTTGTCGCTCCTGAATTTCTGAGTCAAAATAAAAAACTTTTGTCTTGGCTTGTATCTTAAAACAAGTTGAACAATCTTATCTGTGGACTTAGAAACGCTGCAATTATAGCTTGTTGTTTTCGTTTTGCGAATAAAATTTCAGAGAATCTACTCAGCGTTCATGTAGGGAGGGGGTATTGTGAAGAATTCATTGTCATCTGATATTGCTGTCGAACAAATGAGATAAGTTACAACAACAAAAGAATAGGTATAAAATTGATGCCATTTTTCTTCTTCCTAATTGTTTTGTTGCCTGATTTACGTTTGTGTCTATGAAAACAGGCAAAACTTTAAGGCTGCATTTCCTGAGAACTTAAAGTTAAATAAAGATGATTCCGCATGTTTATTATATTAAATACAAATAAGAGAGAGAAAATCAGCACCAGCCAGAACTCGCCAAGAATATAATTATATGTTTTAGTGGAAAAAAGAATTTGTTTTTTAAACGAGTGCTGTACACTGCGTTATCAAAGTTGCTGACAACACTTCTTAATTTTTACTTCAACTTTCTACAGTCACCGGAAAATTCTGATGTAAATTTTGCATAGTACAGGGACCATTACAAGTCGCTAATTGAAAACTAGTATATTTATAGCATATATTTATTTATATACGCAATCTATGTTTATAAGAATTTGAAAAAAAAATATATGAGGCTATTAGCAAAATTTATTGTTTTTGCTTAAGAAGAGGCGCTTATGCCAAATCGACTTAATAAGAAGGCGGGGTTATGTAAAATCGACTTTGAAATCGATAAAACTTTATTTAAAATATGCAGTATTCTAAGGATTGTGCCCCAGTTTTAAATTTTGCACTGACGTGTTTTAATTTCAGTTACATCACTATCAACTAAATAAATCAGTTGCATCAATAAATCAAATGAAATTTTCAACTGGTTCCTTCGCGATGACTTATCAAACGGGTGAAATTTCCCAGGAAATCTAGGAATTTAAAAATTATTCAGCAGCATATTTGAATACTGTTTTAACTGCGGAGACGCTTTAAAATTAATTAATTAAAATAATATTCATTCAAATAATTTCTAATGCTATAGTTTTAAAAATATACGTTTATTATAAATCAGTTATTTGAATGTAAGGAATTTTGAAACTCAAGTTCTGCTCGGATTTCAGGTGAAGTATGAAGTTGTCAGTCCAGATAAAGACCGCCGACTTTTCATTCTTACCTTTGCCCTATGCGGAGGAGTCGCCGGCATTCTACTAGCCGTTGCTGCAGCTTACCTATACCGACGACATGCTCACTCCAGAGAAAAACTGCACAATATTACCCAGCCTGATACTGAAGCAAGTCAAGATTACCAGGTAAAGCATTTTCTAGTAATTTTGTTAAATTCTAACAAGGATTATGCATTTTAATAATATAAGTAAATATCTAGCAGGTACACCACAAAATTTGAAATATGTAGATCAGCCTTTATTATATCCTAACGATAGAAATGTGACAAAGGATAAAAATGAGAGACATGATGGCCTTGCTAAAATGCATTCCGGCTGTTAACCATGATTACGGTAAAAACGTAAGAACAATTCGAAATGACGAAACCGTACATACAGCTGATAAAAAGCACATCTTTTATGTTACTGATGAATTGATCACAAATAATATATCATAACAGAACTGATATCCATATTTATGAAACATCTGTGATAAAAGTACTAATAATAATTAACTTTTTCTCTGATAAAACAGTTTCTAACACTGAATTTAGTTTTATGACTTTTATTTCACTTGACAAAGCGATTAATTTCCCCAGTCACATAACAATTGTAAGGTTAGGGATGAATAATTTTTGGCTATTCTTTCTTATCAATTTTATATACCGTTAGATGAAAGCTACATCTGTATTTATGCATTTTACAATATTCATTTGAATATTGTAAAGGGAATTTTAGAAAGCAATATACGTTATTTCATCACATTTCTCCACTTTTGTTTTATAGATTTAGTCGATTTGTGCAGCGAATGGCTCGTAAAGATCTTGTCTCAGAGTTATACGGGGGGAATCTGAACAAAAAGGGCAAAACTATACGGGGTGATAGAAGGCAACTATACGAGCAATATTCGTCATAGAATGTAAGGTAGGAACTCGAAAGGCGAGCCGCTAGATGGCATTGTAAATAAATGGCAGAAAAAGGGTCAGTCCTCTTACCCAACGGCATTTTCTACCGTGGATTGCTGATTATAGGAACCGCAAAATTTTCAGTGCGATGGATTGGTCAAGATCGTCTCATAGCTTATCTACCAGGATCTCTCGTGTTTGGACTTTTCCTGTGGGGCCATATGAAAAGCTTAATCTGCGAGTGCCCTATTGAAACCAATATGGATGTAGTCGCCGTTGTTGCTGGCTATATTCTGGAAACGCCTGGTGTCTTCGAAAATGTGCACCAATCCTTATCCCGCAGGTGTGCAGCCTGCATTACAGCTGGCGGAAAGTCTTTTGAACAATTTCTATGAGCATGTTCTCTTAATAAAATATTTTCTAATTATTTCATCTCATTCTTGTGTTAATTCTTTAAATATGACAGTGGTAAACTACTTTGTAACTTCTCACTACTTACTTTCCGACCATACATTCTATGACGAATATTGCTCCTATAGCTGCCTTATATCGCCCCCTAAAGTTTTGCCCTCTTGTTCAGATTCATCCTGTATGTAGAGGACAGACACTTTCCATGCCTTTCACACTACAAATAATTATTAAAGTTGAATGCTTTATATTCTGTCGAATACACTCTTACCTTAAAAACATCGTTTTTGTCCCTTGGCAAAATATTGTCATCTTTTTTCATTTTTAGAGAAGATCAATTCATTACTAAAGCATAAATAATACCTAAAGATAATAACTGGTCCACTGGTCGTACAGGTATATATATACCTTCACATTCAAGTGTAGTCGTATGGTCGTCCATATATAGTCATTTCTCCTGCAACGTCGCCCCAAGTTTGATACAGAACATCCAGGAAAACGGATTCGACTATCTCCCATGCCTCTTCGCTTATCACCAAGCTACTCGAGATAAGCTACTCTTTCGGCTTGCCACGATTTTAAGTAACCCCAAGTCGCGCAAGCGCTATACATTTACAGACATTCATGCTTTTTGCCCGATTCGAATTCAGGCCCAAGGATATGGCTGCCAGCATCGCTAAGTATCGCAAGGGTGCACCACAAGAGGTGACCGAATACACCCATCCCTTGTTTGATGGAGAACCCCTAGCAAATGAATCCGACAGTCTTCCATCCGGCTTTCCTTACCATTAAGCTCTCCAGAGAACTATCGACTCTGAAGATTCAATTTCCCAGTGCTACAAAAAACTATAGTATTTCAAACATCTATGCCTTTTACAGGGTTCGAACCTGGGCTCATAGCTATGGTAACCGACTCCCTTATCACCAAGACAACAGAGCAGCGGGGTGAGCCAATATATTAGCCAATGCTGAACTGTGTTTAGTAAAATCTTTGTTGTGATAAAAGGTTTGTGTTGAAGGTATAGTGGTAACGTTATTGCTATCGAAAGCATCCTCAGCAGATCAATGTGCAGTTATTCCTTTTATAATAAAACTAAAAAGACAAAGCTTAAACCTGAGGTTCTACTATGGTGATTGCGACGGACCCAGTTGAATCATTACGGTAACCGGTATGAGGGAGCTATCTTAGTATACATTAGTGACTGCCTTTATGTTATCAGAATCAAAAAGCAAAAGTCTTTAAGTGGAATACCCTGGTCACCATGCGGTTTCTCCTCAGTGAGGTCTAAAATTTTTTTTCACAGCGTCTGTTTCTAGTTGGAGGGTGACATGATGAGAGCATGTGTGTTTCTGTGGAGCTGGAAAGAACCTTCTACCAAAAAGGTATCTACCTTTTAATTCATCACTCGCACAATTGTCTTAACGTCGCTGTGATTCTCATAAATGCCTAAGTGAAATTAATTAGAATGTTTGCTGTTACCCGCTACAAAATAACACAGAGGCTAATGAGTTTCCTGGAAAATTATTTTAAACAAATAACTAAATTACATGCAACTAACAAATAAGGGAAACACCTAGCGGTATAAAATAAATCATAAATAAATAAACAAATATAAAATAAAAGTAAAATAAATGCAATAAAATAAATAAATAATAAAACAACTAATAATCTACTAACTTTTCTTTCTAGTGAAAGATTTATAACAAATGTGTTTTCTAATGGCTTTTCATTAGAAAACAAAGTACATAAGATGTCAAAAAAAATTTGCCTTCTAAGGTTTTGAACTTGAGTAACTTAGGTGTACCGTTTTCAAATAAATTGACGTAAAAATGAGGCACAAAATAGTTGTTTTCTGTATTTTAAAAGAAATTCGAGCAAAAGTGTCCTGCGTTTGTTTTCCTAATACGCAGGTTTCATAACAACGATATTTTCTAAAGTAACTTGTTTGGAGCAAATATACTCTTTATAATTTTTCGATGTCCTAATAAAATCAAGTGCACTAATTTTCGTTTTATGTCTCATATTACGTAGCGTAATTAATGTTTTCTTATATAAGAAGAAAGGGGAGAAACGACTTTCTTTCTTGACAGGAAGAGGCTTAAAATAATAAATATTCACTTTTCTGTAGTAGATTAGTTTTATTATTCTTATAATAGCTCCATCCGTGAAACATAATTCGTTACATAATTTAACTGGCACATGCATTTATTATAAAAGAAGGCTAACGTAACATTAAAATAGAAGCCTCAGCTTCTAAAATAGCATTTCTCTGTTCTTTATCTTACTAGGTATTTCTTTGTGGGGAAATGTTCTTATGTTAATTAAGATAAGCTATTTTGGATGCTGAATGAATGAGACTGTCAGTTATTCAGTAGTATTCAATTTTATTTTGAATCGTCATTTTCTTCAAAATCTTTCACTTGAGTTGAACCATGGGATCAATTGCACTAGACTCTTAACCTTCAGATAGCATGATATTTAGGCTTGGCTCTTAAGTATAAAATTAACATAAAAGTTATTTCCAGAGATTTTGTTCTCTCTTACTTTCGTACTTTAAAAGGGCTACTAGCCACTGATGTAAAGTTAGTAATAATAAATTATAGTATTCTTATATAAAAAACAACCCTTCACGCTATATTATCTGTTTTTCATTTCGGTGCTTAATATAAGCTCCGTTGTAAGGATCTTTCGACGTGTATCTTGAAAAAACTATAATTTATTATTACCTTAACATTAAAATATTATTTCTTAATAATATGTTACCTTATTAATAATACGTTATTGCTAATATTATAATAAATTATTCCAGAAACTGCTAATTTCTATTCAGTGATATTGTAACGCAACAGCAATCTAGCCTGTACTTAAGAAGCAATAAAATCTTAAGATTTCTATAGTCTATAAGATTCCCGGCGGGGAACTGTTTCGTGCTATCTTGCAGACATCTTCCTATGACTGTCTAACATACTCTTTCGGCGCAGATCTTTTATGCACTGTGTTTCAGAAAGACTCAAATAGCTATGAATGTTAATCCACCAATTATTTATATTTTTTAAATAAACGGAAATGTTTACCATATTTAATGTAAACGATATTTGCTTCATAACCTTTTAATACTGCTTTATTAGCTTGTGAGGTTCTGTTTATATTTACTAATAGTTATTTTATTTTGTGAGCCGTTCCTGAATTATTTTACTTCACCTTGCCTTTCCTTGCTAGGATGTAAATGAAGTGGAGTAAACGAGAGTTATTAAGCTGTTGGAGAGATAAGGTTAGGCAAAGCGTGACTTCGCTATTGTGAGCGCACGTTTGTTAGTTTCTGCCAGCTGTTAATCTTAATAGCGGCTACGCATTCTTGCCATCGAGTTAGCATCTTGCCGGTGTAGGTTTCTGAGTCAACCTGTTAGTTTAAATTCACTTGTATCGTCTCGCACTATTCTTTACCTTTAAATTTAGTGTAACTTACATACTATGTTATAGGCCTTGTGTTTTGTTGCTTGTAGTGAATCAGGAGTTTATATTAATTTACTCAAGTCTACAGTAAATAAACTACAGAAGATTCAGGGATCATATGATTCAAAGTTTTTTAGATTATGTTCTAAAATGTCGTAACTAGGCCTATCTCAATAAACACCTTTATCTTTTTTCCTAGTTAGATATATTTTCTAAACGATTTACCCTTAGCAAAACGTACATAGTTCTTTCGATTAGGCTGTAGAGACATTAGGTTATTTGGAAGCAGGAAAGATGAAAAATATGCAACGCCTTCACCGAGAATCGAACCACCGGGACTCTGTATTTTACCCGCTGAACGTGCAGACCACTACACCACG